GTCACATTTTGTTTATCCACTCATCTGTTGATGGACATTTGGCTGCATCATTTGTGGCAATTATGAATAATGCTGAGTATTAGTCAGGGTTATTCAGAGAAACAGAACCAATAGAAGGTTATCTATCCATCAAGATTTGTAACAAAAAATTAGCTCATGCAGCAATCACAGAGGCTGAGAAGTCCTACACCTGCTGTTTGCAGGCTAGAGACCCTGGAGACTCAGGAAAGGCAGTGGTATCATTTAGTCTGAGTCCAAAGGCCTGAGAACCCAGGGAGCCAATAGTGTAAATCCCAGTTTGAGGGCAGGAGAAGATGAGGTGAGCTGCCTCAACACAAGCAGCGAGGCAGAAAAAAAGGGGATGAATTCCTCATCCCTCTACCTTTGTTCTGTTCAAGCCCTCAGCAGATGGATGCTCCCCACCCACATAAGGGAGGGCCATCTGCTTTGTCCATTCCACCAATTCAAATGCTGATCTCATCTGGAAGCACCTCACAGACATGCCCAGAAGTCAAGGAGCATCTGGGCACCCCATGGCCCTGTCAGGTTGACACATAAAATTAACTACCATGGCTACTATGAACATTTGCATACAGGTTTTTGTGGGAAACAGGGCTAATTTAAGACACTGGTTTTTTTTTTTTAATTATAATTTAAGTTCTGGGGTACATGTGCAGAATGTGCAGGTTTGTTGCATAGGTATACATGTGCCATGGTGGTTTCCTATTTCTTCAACTAGCTTTGTTGGTACATGAGTGTTTTGTTATTATTTCAAGTGTTTTACACTTATATTGCAAGTCTTCTATATAGATGTAAGATTTAATAAACTATTTATTTATTTATTTTCTGAGACATAGTCTCACTTTGTCACCCAGGCTGGAGGGTAGTGGCATGATCTCGGCTCACTGCAACCTCCACCTCCCGCGTTCAAGCAAGTCTCATGTCTCTGCCTCCTGAGTAGCTGGGACTACAGGCACACCCCACCACACCAGGCTAATATTTTTAGTAGAGATGGGATTTCACCATGTTGGCCAGGCGGGTCTTGAACTCCTGTCTCAAATGATTCACCTTCCTTGGCCTCCCAAAGTGCTGGGATTGCAGGCATCTATCCCTGGCTGTGCGAAATGGAAAAGTTCCTTTTTAAAGTTTCCTTTCTTGTTAAAGAATAAGTGTGCTAAAAACTTTGTTAAGCCCTATCCTATGTAGCTGTTAGATGTACCATGCTTGCAAGTGGTAGTGCATTCTGTGTCCTTGTACTTCAACCAAGATGTCTGTGCTGGACGTGCTCACAGGCACGTCCCAGCTCTTCATTGCTTTTATCTGTTTAGAAAAGTTTTAAGTTGTTAGTCAATCAGGTTTTAGTTTAGATTGTGAGGTCTGGCTTTAGCCAACGGAGATCAGACACAGCAGTAAGGACAACCCAAATGTATAAGGGATAAATTTATGTGTTTTCCTTTGTTCATTGTACTCTTGTAGCATGGTGGCTAGCGAGGGTACCCTTCCTGCAGTCCAGGAAGTAAAAAGTGCATTGCTGAAAGATCTTTTGTCTAAGTGCTAATTTTCCTTTGCTGCACTGAGCATCTACTTTCAACAAATTGGCACCCCAGATGGGACCAATTCCCCTGCAGAGTGGTCTTCAGCTGAGACCCATCTGGTGTGAGGAATAAATCAACCTGGTCTCTCAGCAATGCGGGGGTGGGGAGGGGCCTTCAAGCTTTGGTCAACATTCTAAAGGTTAAGTATATGTAAGTGTGCATGCAAGAGCGCAGTGTGAGTGGTCTCTCTCTGCAAAATCTGTAATAGTTTCATGCGGACTAGAAACTGGAGAGAGCAAAGTGAAAGTAAAGAGAGGAGTGAGAGAGACCTCCGAAAGAGCAGGAGGGCTTAGTTAGAACCCTCCCCTGGAAAAAGAAAGGCAACAGGTAGCCGAGACGGCTCCAGAGGAGCCCCCTAACATGGCAGCAGTGGTGCTGGTGGCTGGGTCAGCCACTTGTTGGGGTGGGGCCCAGGGAGGTGGAGGTCACAGGCCTACAAAGGCCAGGCTGCTCTGAGTGGCAGTGCACTGTGGGCGCCAGGGCCGGGAGTCAGGAAGCAGCACAGGTGGCACTGGAAGTGGTGAGTGGCCCACATGCAGATGGCAGTGGTGGAGGCTGCCTGCAAGGCCACTGGCTGTGGCCAGGGGTGGCACAGAGGCAGCAGGAGAGGCTGGAACAACCTGGTTAAACAGCAGCAGCAGCAGCCAGACGGTCCAAGGTTGTGTGCTGGGAACTTTGTGGGGCAGACAGGCGCGGCACCTGTGCCAGCAGGGGAGAAGGCCGGCAGCATGAGCAGTGCAGCCCAAGGCAAGCCCCACTCCGACCAGCAAAATATAAAAAGGAAAGTTGAGCTATGTCGAAAAATTGTAAAAGTAAGTGCATGTGAAAGAGAGAGAAAGAGACAGGAAGTAAAACTAAAGAAAAAAATGGTGTAAAGAGAAAAGACAGAGAAGATTTTTCTTTAAAAAACTCAGGCAGAGGCCGGGCGCAGTGGCTCAAGCCTGTAATCCCAGCACTTTGGGAGGCCGAGGTGGGTGGATCACGAGGTCAAGAGATCGAGACCATCCTGGTCAACATGGTGAAACCCCGTCTCTACTAAAAACACACACAAAAAAATTAGCTGGGCATGGTGGTGCGTGCCTGTAATCCCAGCTACTCAGGAGGCTGAGGCAGGAGAATTGCCTGAACCC